GGGGGCTCCAGGGCAGGGGTTGGGATGCGGGGTGCAGGAGGGGTTCGGGGTGGAGGCTCCTGCCCGGCGCCACTTACCTGGAGCCGCTCCGGGCTGGCAGTGGAGTGCAGCGGGGCCAGGGCAGGCTGCCTGCCTGCCCTGGCCCTGGCCCCGGCCCTGGCCCTGGCCTTGTCCCACTCCAGGAAGCGGCCAGCACCATGTCCCTACAGCCCCTAGGGGAGGGGGAGCAGAGGGCTCTACACGCTACCCTTGCCTGTGGGTACCTCCCCCGAAATTCCCATTGGCCAGGAATGGGGAACCGCGGCCAATGGGAGCTTCGTGGGAGGTACCCACAGGCAAGGGCAGCGCACGGAGCCCTCTGCCCCTCCTTCCCCAGGGGCTGCAGGGACGTGGTGTCGTCTGCTTCTGGGAGCGGTGCGGGGCCCGCAGTGCCATGGGGGTGGCAATCCCACGGGCTGGATCCAAAGCCCTGAGGGGCCGGATCCAGCCTGCGGGCCGTAGTTTGCCCATCCCTGGAATAGGTCATGCTGGTGGGGAAGTGGCACTATATGTGAAAGAAAGCGTAGAATCAAATGAAGTAAAAATCTTAAATGAACCAAACTGTACCATAGAATCTCAATGGATAGTGCTATGGATTGCTGTACCCAACCCAACCCAAGCATGGAGGCCTGTTTTTTCCACCGTTTTTTTTTTTTCCTAAGTCACGGCACCAAATTGTGGAAGAAAACAGGCCTTCACGCTTGGGTTGGGTACAGCAAGTCAGAGACAGTCTTTATTCTCAAGCAATTGCAAAGAGGAGAGAGAGCACACTGGCAGGGATTCACCCTGTCCAGGCAGGTCTCTGATACATAAACAATTAGAGCAAGCTTTTATATCTTTTTGTTACCTATAATAATGAGCAACAGCTGCATTTTGTTATCCATATTTCTTCCTGATATCTCACTCTTCTCATTAATTTCTGCTACAGTCTAGATTCCATTCTTATCTAACACAAGGTCAAAACAGTATCTCTTACTGTCTGTTCCCATTCGCTTTCTCGCTTTCTACCCGCCTAGGTCCTGCCTTCAAGTCTCACATTATTAGAGTCAGTGTCTGCCTGACTTTGTTAGCCTGACTCTTGCTCTGTTCCTAGAGACCAACTAAGATCTCTATGTTCAAATTCCCTTTATCCCTTTCTCCACTTCCACAATAGTAATGCCATGCTCTAATCATGAGAATGTAGCAGTAGGGATATATTATGAACCACCTGACCAGGATGGTGATAGTGACTGTGAAATGCTCAGGGAGATTAGAGAGGCTATAAAAATAAAAAAAATACAATAACAACAATGGGGGGGGTTTCAACTATCCCCATATTGACTGGGTACATGTCACCTCAGGACGGGATGCAGAGATAATGTTTCCTGACAGTTAAAGTGACTGCTTCTTGGAGCAGCTACTCTTGGAACTCACAAGAGCAGAGGCAATTCTTAATTTAGTCCTAAGTGGAGCACAGGATCTGGTCCAAGAGGTGAATATAGCTGGACCGTTTGGTAATAGTGACCATAATAGAATTAAATGTAACATCCTTGTGGTGGGGAAAACACCACAGCAGCCCAACACTGTAGCATTTTATTTCAGAAATCCCTGCAAGCTGCATGGAAACTTTTTAAAGACCCCATAATAGAGGCTCAACTTAAATGCGTACCCAAAGTAAAAAACAGAGAACCAAAAAAATGCCACTGTGGCTAAACAAGAAAGTAAAAGAGGCAGTGAGAGGCAAAAAGGCATCCTTTAAAAAGTGGAAGTTAAATCCTGGTGAGGAAAATAGAAAGGAGCATAAATTCTGGCAAATGAAGTGTAAAAATATAATTAGGAAGGCCAAAAAAGAATTTGAAGAACAGCTAGCCAAAACCTCAAAAAGTAATAGCAAAACATTTTTTAAGTACATCAGAAGCAGGAACTAAAAAAACAGTGGGGCCACTGGATGATCGAGATGCTAAAGGAGCACTCAAGGATGATAAGGCCATTGCGGAGAAACAAAATTAATTTTTTGCTTAGGTTTTCACGGCTGAGGATGTGAGGGAGATTCCCAAACCTGAGCCATTCTTTTTAGGTGACAAATCTGAGGAACTGTCCCAGATTGAGGTGTCTTTTGAGGAGGTTTTGGAACAAATTGATAAACTAAACAGTAATAAGTCACCAGGACCAGATGATATTCACCCAAGAGATCTGAAGGAACTCAAATGTGAAATTGCAAAACTACTAACTGTAGTTTGTAACCTATCATTCAAATCAGCTTCTGGACCAATTGACTGTAGGATAGCTAATGAGACACCAATTTTGAAAAAGGGCTCCAGAGGTGACCCCGGTAATTACAGGCCGGTAAGCTTGACTTCTGTACCAAGCAAACTGGTTGAAACTATAGTAAAGAACAAAATTGTCAGACACCGGATTAACATAATTTATTGGGGAAGAGTCAAAATGGTTTTTGTAAAGGGAAATCATGCCTCACCAATCTACTAGAATTCTTTGAGGGGACCAACAAGCATGTGGACAAGGGGGATCCAGTGGATATAGTGTACTTAAATTTTCAGAATGCCTTAAACAAGTCCCTCACCAAAGGCTTTTAAGCAAAGTAAGCTGTCATGGGATAAGAGGAAAGGTCCTCTTATGGATTGGTAACTGGTTAAAAGCTAGGAAACAAAGGGTTGGAATAAATGGTGAGTTTTCAGAATGGAAAGAGGTAAATAGTGGTGTCCCCCAGGGGTCTGTACTGGGAACAGTACTATTCAACTTATTCATAAATGATCTGGGAAAAGGGGTAAACAGTGAGGTGGCAAAATTTGCAGATGATACAAAACGATTCAAGATAGTTAAGTCTCAGGCAGACTGTGAAGAGCTACAAAAGGATCTCTCAAAACTGTGTGACTGGGCAACAAAATGGCAAATTAAATTTAATGTTGATAAATGCAAAGTAATGCACATTGGAAAACATAATCCCAACTATACATATAAAATGATGGGGTCTAAATTAGCTGTTACCACTCAAGAGAGAGATCTTGGAGTCGTGGATAGTTGTCTGAAAACATCCACTCAATGTGCAGCAGCAGTCAAAAAAGCAAACAGAATGTTGGGAATCATTAAGAAAAGGATAGATAAGAAGACAGAAAATATCATATTGCTTCTTTATAAATGCATGATACACCCACATCTTGAATACTGCGTGCATATGTGGTTGCCTCATCTCAAAAAAGATATATTGGAATTGGAAGATGTTCAGAAAAGGGCAACAAAAATGATTAGGGGCATGAAATGGCTGCCATATGAGGAGAGATTAATAAGACTGGGACTTTTCAGCTAGGAAAAGAGACGACTAAGGGGGGATATGATAGAGGTCTACAAATCATGACTGGTGTGGAGAAAGTAAGTAAGGAAGTGTTATTTACTCCTCATAACACAAGAACTAGGGGTCACCAAATGAAATTAATAGGCAGCAGGTTTAAAACAAACAAAAGGAAGTATTTTTTCACACCACACAGTCAACCTGTGGAACTCCTTGCCAGAGGATGTTGTGAAGGCCAAGACTATATAACAGGGTTCAAAAAAGAGCTAGATAAGTTCATGGAAGATGGGTCCTTCAATGGCTATTGGCCAGGATGGGCAGGGATAGTGTCACTAGCCTCTGTTTGTCAGAAGCTAGGAATGGGCGACAGGGGATGGATCACTTGATGATTACCTGTTCTGTTCATTCCCTCTAGGGCACCTGGCATTGGCCACTGTCGGAAGACAGTATACTGGACTAGATGGACCTTTGGTCTGACCCAGTATGGTCATTCTTACATTCAAGTCTGGCCCTAAGTGACTTGCCTAAGATCACAGGGGTGTTGATGACAGAGCTCGGAACTGAACCCAACTGCCCTTAGTCGAATCCAGCGTCTTAGCCACAAGGCCAGCCTTCCTCTGGCCTTCTGCTGTTATTGCCAGGGTTACATGGACTAAGATCTCTTGAACTTGGGGGCCCTATTTCCTTGTTCCTCGTGGCACCCCACTTTCAGCCCCCATCTGGGCATAGGTATCAATCTTTCATGGTGCCAGGGACTTGTTATCTGCTTTACGTTCTAGTGCATGCATTGTGCTTTCTGTGACTGAATCCAGACTATTCACAGTTCTACAAGAACAGAGGGGCCCAGCTCATCCCATCTCTTTGTGCCCACAGGTTCCCAACATGCCAGGGGCAGGCATACAAGGAGGTGGTATGCCAGGGGCAGGCATACAAGCAGGAGCCATGCCAGGGACGGTGGTACAAGGAGCTGGCCAGCCAGGAGGCTTTAGCCCTGGGCAGAACCAGGTCACCCCCCAAGATCATGAGAAGGTGAGTAAACAAAGGGCAACTCAGGCTCGGAGGGAGGGGATGGAGGCTGGATACCCCATTGCCGTGGGAATGAACTCAGCGCTCCTTCTCTCTGGCACAGCAAGAGTCTCCAAGTCTTGTAGTTTCTGTGCTGGGGCCAACTCAGCCTGGGGAGTTAATGCTCCTGCAGCTTTCCAGGAGAATGTTCATAAGCAGCAGCAAGGCGGGTGGTTTGAAACTTTTCCTGTAGGTGTGGCCAGTGAGCCAGGTCCTTTCAGTTGATGAGAGTTTATACTGCTCCTGCTCTTTGCCTTCCTTCTGTCTCCTCCTTCCCTCCCTCCAGCAGCCTGGTCTCTGGATAACTTCCTCTTTACTGGCTTTTCTGTAACCCTTCGCTGCCCTCTTCCTCTTGGGAAATTACTCTTGCACATGGTGTTGCAGATCCTCCCCTCTCTCCACAGGCTGCCCTGATCATGCAGGTTCTCCAGCTGACTGCAGACCAGATCGCCATGTTGCCCCCAGAGCAAAGGCAAAGCATCCTTATCCTAAAGGAGCAGATCCAGAAATCCACTGGGGCTCCATGACAGGTGAGATGGGATGGAGGCTGCATTACTGCAGCCAGGGAGGGGCGAGGCTATAGCCAGAAAGGTGATGGGACAGCTTGTATGAACTAAGGGGGTAAGGAAAGTATGGAGAGCAGTGTGAAATGGAGAAGACCCCCTAACCCTGCCATTGAATTCGATGCCCTATGGCCTGCCCTGGTTAGGTGCCACACATTCTCCCATGCGTTGTAGCAGTAGTTCTCAACCGGGGGTACCCAGATCTTCCAGGGGGTACATCAACTCATCTAGGTATTTGCCTAGTTTTACAACAGGCTACATAAAAAGCACTAGCAAAGTCAGTACAAACTAAAATTTCACTCATATGCATCCGAAGAAGTGGGCTGTAGTCCACGAAAGCTTATGCTCTAATAAATTTGTTAGTCTCTAAGGTGCCACAAGTCCTCCTGTTCTTACTCAATGACTTGTTTATACTGTACTATACACTGAAATGTAAGTACAATATTTATATTCCAATTGATCTATAATTATATGGTAAAAATGAGAAAGTCAGCAATTTTTCAGTACTAGTGTGATGTGACACTTGTATTTTAATGTCTAATTTTGTAAGCAGTTTTTAAATGAGGTGAAACTTGGGGTATGCATGACAAATCAGACTCCTGCCAGGAGTACTGGAAAGGTTAAGAGCCACTGCATTATAGAGTTGCCTAGTTAGGTGTGTTGTAGGGAGGGTCACTCCTCTCTCTGGTGCATCTCCAGCGATTTCTGTGTCAGGCAGGTACCAGGTTAGGGCTGGTCTGTTCCTTGTGGCACTGTAGCTAACCCAGCCCTCACCTTATAGCTTCCACAATAAACACACATACTCCTGTAAGCAAGAGATGGGGCGTGGCCTCGCTCTGCCTCTGATTCACTGTGTGATCTGGGGCCAGTCACATCACACTCTGTGCCTTAGTTTCCCCTCTGTAAAGCAGGGTGCTAGTTACACCCCCCCCAGTGTCACCCAATGAAGGCTGGTAGCCGGGTGAAGCTGGAAGCTGCTGCTGACATACTGGATATGCTGACTCTCAGATAGCCCCTTGTTCTTTCGCTCTCCCCGAGGTTCTTTGGGCCTCTCCAGACAGGCCAGCCTCGGTTTAGCTGTTACAGCTCTAGGGGATGGGCCCCACTTAATCCTGCCCAAGGAAGTGTATGGGCTTTGCTCCCTGCTTGTGGCGGGAAGGGAGGCTCAGAGCGCTCCTGCAGCTGTTGGGTGGGAGGCCGTGGGCAGCACGCTCCTGTGTTGCATGTCATATGGACAGCTGAGGAACTAGACCGGGCAGTGGGATCCGTGTGTGCATTGCTGGACTGTATTCAGCTGTCCTGGAGAGAGCAGCAACAGTGGCCAGTGGTGCCCAGCAAAACCCTGTGTCTGCAGCCACTGTGCTAAATCTCTTTAAAGGAGGGGTATCTCCTTTCACAAGGCTGTGGAAATGCAGGAGGGTTGCTCCTTGAGGAGCTGCCCTTTGTGCTGTGGGAAATTCCCATTGGCTGGGCCAGGGCCTGTAAGGACACATTCCATTATTTCTCCTGGGAATCAGAATGGCCTGGCTTGGGCACCAGGTCTTGTGCACTCCCCTCAAGTATCCCTCTTATTTTTGCATGTTTTAGAAGACCCTTGATGACCCTGAAGATCCAGACCTGTGGGATGGAGGAGGCACCCAAGGCAGCAGCTTCACTTCATCACTGTCTGACCTGGTGCAGCCATCAGGGGAAGGGTTCCCCCTTCTTCCCACCCAGCATAACCCCCATACTTTTCATTCTGTGTTTTGTTTGTGTGTGTTTTACAGTATTTGAAATAAACTTGGAGGAGGATTTGAGTACAATTCACGACTCTACCTGATACTGCCTCCAACAGGCGCCTCTTTCTGTGCCTGACTCGGAAGCACTAGAGATGGCAAAGGCCTCTGGGTCGCTCATGTGAGCCTTTCACCTGGCCAGGCATGATGGCCTCTCTCCAGTATAGTCAGGGAATTCCTTCATCTGGTGCAGCATGTCCTGGCTCCAGGATTGATCATTAGTCACTTTGTTCCTGCAGACACCGAGCTCCATGTTTCCCAGCCTTGTTCCCTTAACCACACAGGAAGTTTCTTACAGGCTGATCTGTGCTCAACATGCCTCTTCCTAAAGGGGATGGAGGGAGAAAGAGATGGTCCCTCTAGGCAGCTTGTTGCTATTTGCTGAACAGATGAGATGCTGCTGTTATTACTTGCAGTCTCTGGCAGAAGATACTCAATAAACTGGCGTGTCTGGAGAAGGCTGGTGCATTGAAATCGTTATCTGGGGAATGTGACAAGGGACAGTTAGGCCAGCCTGACCACTGTGGTGGGACAAAGAGCCGGGTCTGTATTATGTCTGATCTACTGAGTTTCATACATGTGGCCTCTGAGGAGTGAAAGGGGCATGAGGTGAAGATGTCCTCTTACCAAGAAGGTCCCAGTTGATCTGGAGACCTTGCCAGGCACCAACTGGCCCCACTAAAAATGCCCACATCTGTGTCATTTTTCTTTCATTAACAACCCCATCAGTGAGAGAAAAAACATTTCAAACAGTTCATGGCAACCCCCCATTTAAGCGGTAAGGTCTTTTGTGATAGCAGGCAGGTGGGAACATTTAGCCCACAGGCACTTTGGCAAGATTTATGAGGCACCCTTACCAAAGCACCTGTGATGAAAATGTATCTGTCGCACTTGTCTGACTGAAGTTTGTCTTGGGCATTTCTTTCAGTGAATTGTGTGCTGGTGTAAGACACTGAATTGCAGCATTGGAGCACTCTTCCCACAACTGGGTGCAGCACAGGAAGCTGCAGTGCAACTGTTCCCACAACAGCCCTTACGCTTGTGCACATCCTTCTGTGGAAGATCTCCTATAGGGCTGAAATGGGTAGCTTATCTTTCAGTCCTACCCAGCCTGACATGAAAAATGCCATAGCGGATTGCTCAGCCCCTTGCTCTCAACTGGCAAATCAGCTGTGACTGCTGTATCATTTAAGATATCTTCCATTCCTGGTAATATGTTTTTCTTCTCTTCTGGATACATTCAAGCAGGTTTCCTTTCTGTGAGTCACTCTCAATCGGGATGTTAAACCTTTCTGCTGTGGCTACTGGATGACAGAATATTAAAGGGTTCTGCTCACAATGTCACCAAACAGCTGTGATGGGAGAGTAGGTGGCAATTTGACTTTACTACTCTTTGTTTTTTACAGTTAGCGCAGATAGAGCACAGGTTCAACAGACACCGTCAGGCACTAGGTAAATGCTCTGCATTTGCATCTTAAATTGAATAGAATGGTTCACCTGGGTTGGGTTTTATCCCAAGCTATTTACAATGGAAGCAAGTTTTGTTTATTTTAATATTCATTTACAGAAACATTTATTGGAGAATATTTCCCCTTTGTGATGGATTAACTACAAACAACCTCTGCCCTTCTCCCCAGCAGATTTCCCCCAAGCTCATCATCCTGGAATTCTTCTGACCATGCCCAAAATCCCCAAAATCATGTTTAATCATCAGTCTCAGCCTTTGTCAGTCCCTTGTCCAGGTGCCACAATCAAACTTTAAGATCATGCTGATTGCACCAGAAAGTCCATTTCAACTCCCATCTGCATGTGAGATCACTGTTGACCTCTAGTGAAGGAGACCCATTCCCCTCCCCTTCAAAAGAGATGCAAGGTGGAAAACTCAAAAGGACGCTTCCTTTGGAGGAATGCAGTGTTGTTTTGGAAGCTCACTTCTTCCTTGAGTTTAGTAGGTAGGAGACACGTGGTTTGAATGGCAGCATTTCTCAGTAGTGTCAGTCAGCGCATCCTCGGCAGGGCCAGGTTGATTCAGTCTTAAAAGGAGCTGTAGAGGATCAGATAATTGTTCTCTGGGAGGTTGTGGTGTCACACAGTGTAGTCACCATGTTCCTGCTGCTTAGAAGTTCTCTTTGTTGAAGTAGAATTTGACCTTCCTAGGGTCCAGGCTGGAGTACTGATGGCAGCACTTCTGCAGACTCTCTGCCAAAGCTTGAGGCCCACAGAGGAACACCCCCACAACAGACCTGCACAGAACAAAGGAGATATTAGTGCTGGGGAGAAATAATCTGCCCTCTCCAGGCTCTGTCCAGGGCCCTTCACCATCTGTGGGCCTTCACTTGCCTCCATCTTCAGAACAACCCCCCCATCCTAGTCATTCATTGGTCCCTGCTGCTGGGGCAGCGTACCAGATGAATTACATTACATGCATTAGCCCATAGCTCCAGGGAACTCTGAGACCATGTGCACACTTAACTCCTAACATCCCTTACACCCATCACCCCTACCTAAGAGGAGACTCCAGTCCTCTTTACAGCGTTCAGAAGGGACAGCTGTGTGTGGAGGAGCCATGGAGAAGGATTTTACTGTGCAGGGTATTTATGATCTGTGCAGGAAACCTTCAGTTCTTCTCAGTGCTTCTCTCAAGAGATGCTTTGCCATCATCCTATAGAACCGTGGTTTTCACTCTGTGGTCTGCAGGTTTAAGACGTGTGGTCTAAGATCATTCAAAAGGGGTCCACACCTCCATTTGAAATTTGTTAGGGGTCCGCAAATGAAAAAAAGGTTGAAAACCACTGCCATAGAAGATCCTTGAATTTCGGCCTTGGGGCCAGTTTTCAGAGATGCTGAGCAGCCAAGACTCCACCTGAAGTTAGTAGGAGCTGTAGGTGTTCTACACCTCTGAAAAAAACCCAGGCTGTTAGAATCCAATAATCTGGGAGCTCTTCAAAAATTAACCATTGGAACAATTTACCAAGAGTTATGGTGAATTCTCCATCACTAGCAATTTTTAAATCAAGATTGGCTGTTTTTCTAAAAGATCTGCTCTAGGAATTATTTTGGCAAGTTCTCTTGCTTGTGTTATACAGGGTGTCAGATGATTACAATAGTCCCTAACCTATGAATCCAATCATTCTGGTTCTGTAGCATATGCAGCTCGTTCTCAGTGTCCTTACTTGGCACCTGTGCTTACAGAAGCAACACTAGACTTGCTGGGCATGCAGTCTGAGGAGGAAGAGGCCAGGTAACTTGAAGAGGCATTTCCAGCTGTAGCAACTTGGTCTCCAGGGCACTAGACACTTACCTGGGGTGGGCAGTTGCCACTGCAGAGAACTCATTGCTCCACATGGGTCTCCCAAAGGAGGTTTTCTGTTTGAGACCTGTCACCACATCCGTGTCTTTATCAAAGTTGAAAACTGCTTGGCCAGCCTAGAGTTACAGGAGATGAGTAAGAACAGGCAGACATCCTGCCAATGCCTGGAACCCAACAGAAGGGCTGCAGGAGCCCTCATTTATGAGGCCTTGGCCTCAACTGTTGCCACCCTCCTTGAGGGGTTAAATGGCAGAATCCCCACTCTGGTGCTTGTGTTAATCTCATCTAGCTTTTAACATGGTGTTCTCACTTTCTTCCCATCCCTATCTACAGACGTTCTCCCCTGTTCCCTTCTGGGCTATAGTGTTCTCCCCTCCTAGACTGTGACACATCTCCTGCCATTAGGACCATATGGTGTATGTGACTCACAATGCTGTGGTCCCAGCCCGTGAGGAAGAGTCTGTAGTTCAGGAAACCAGTTTTGCCAGATTCCTCCATCTCTTGCTCCAGGGAGGCGAGCAGGTCATTGAACCAGGCAAACGCACCTGTATCCCGGCAGAGCCAGTAGAAGTAGATCTGCGATCCAACAGCACAAAGAGAAAGAGAGAGGTGTTACTGACAATGGGAGAGCTGTGCACTGCAGTGGAGCAGAGGAGAGAGTCCATTACAATAAGGACAGATTCAGCAGGAAGGCTGTAGATTTGCACTCTAGGATGCTGTGGGATGGTGGGACATTGCACTTTAAGGACACACAACAGGTTGCTGGGAATGAAGGTCAGACAGGCAGCTGTAGGGCCAGCCTTTCCCCCATTGCACTGGTTACCTTTTTGGTTTTGAGACGCTGGTCTGCATGCTGGAACTTGTACCAGATTGATTTCAGTACAGAGGCAAAGGGCGTGACCCCGATCCCTGCTCCCACCAGCATAGCAACCTCATACTGGAACACATCTTCACTGGCTGTGCCAAAGGGGCCATCCACCTCTATCCTGGTAAAATAAGTCAGGATCCAGGTAAGAGGTCAAAGCTGCCTTCCTGCATCACTTCATATCACAAAACTCTTCCCGGGGGTGAGTTTTATTGGCTTCCTGACTCTAATGCTGCCCTGGCCTACCTGGGTGTCTTTGGTTTCTGCTGCTGAAAGGTATCAATAAGATTCTCTGTCCAGTCCCCTGCTGCCCGGATGTGGACAGAAAAGAAGTCTTCTTCTGGTGCAGAGGTCAGGGTGAAAGGATGCCACTCCAGGTGCGAGACAGAGGGGCAATTGATGAAAATATACTGGCCCACTTCCATGCTGAAGCCTTTCTTGTGCATCTGTAGTTCTAAAACTTTTGATGGGTGCACAACAGCCTGTAGGAAAGATACATCCACAAAGCATGAGTATGTCCCACTCAGCTGCCTCTACAGTGACACCACTGCTTGGGCTGAGCGTGGAGTAGCTAGGAGCACCCCACACAGGGAGCATACTGTGACTCCTGCTGGGAAAGACTGGGATTGGAGTGGCTAGGAGCTCCCATAGGTAGTGCTTCTATCCCATTGCCTACAGTGATTCCTGCTGGGAGAGGCTACACTGGCTGGGCCGAGACACCCCTTACCTTTGTGATGACGACCCTCTGTCGAGAACGCCAAAAGCGTAAGACCCGCTCAAAGACATAGAGAAGGATTGGGGTCAGCACCCACTGCCAGGACTGTTGAGACAGAAGTGAGTAATATATTGTGA